ATCAAAAGTCATACAGAAAATCAAAGCTTCACATGATGTGGTCGTTACAATCCAGAGTCACTTTATACCCCTGAGACACAGGAGCGTCGAGGTGGCCCCGCTCCAAAAGAAAGAGAAATCATTAAACAACGTGAATAGGCATCGAGTGCGCCCCCGGCCAAAGCTAACACCGGCTAACGGCAGGAAGACTCCTCTGTCTAGTAAAAAAAATATTTGACTCCTAGTATTTCTCCCTACGAGCCTCTGGGCCGCAGCTTTGCTTCCAAATGCAACAAAAAAAGAACTTGAGCAATCCACGGGGCCTTGGCTGCAGCTGGCAGCGGGTGCACGTCGGGGATTAATACTCAGTTATCCCCCGGACTGAAAATAACCACGCTTGCAAGCTAGCAAAATTGAAGCCGCTTGTCCGGCGTGCGCTGATTGGAGGTGATGCTGTAAAACTGTCATCTCTACGATGAAGAGACAACAGATCTTTGAAATCAAATCTGTCTAAATGTGAAACCTCTGGTTGCTGTTGCTGCTCTCTCTCTCAGGCCTTAGCAACGGTGTGGAAGTTTGGAAGGATCACACCGACACAGGTTTGTTGCACTGATGTCGCTCCACGCCGACTCCCTGGAAGGAGTTTTTAATTTCAACGTCTTAATTAACTAATGAGGACGATGTCGTAGGATGTTTAACTCACTCCTTAACTCACAGAGTGTTAGCAGCACCACTGTGTTCAGAGTGATTTTCCACAGCGTCCGGTCAAAATGTATCGTTAAATCTCCATAACTAAAACCTCATCATCATCAACTAGACTTTTTGGTTTTATTTACACCAAACAACGACAGGTAAACGATACAGCGCTGCTGTCCCTAGGCTTGTTAGCATGCTAACGTGATGAGCGTTTTGCCCAGTATGGTGACTGTGACAGGTTGGGGAGGGTAATAAAAGCAGCATGGATGTAACAGGACTACACTCTGTCATTAGGGATTAATCAATGGAATCTCGATATTTGTGGACCGCTGAGCAGATGAACCCATAAAGTAAATGCCTTTTCCAATAAATCTGTTCCCACTTACTCTCAGTGTGCCTCCATTCACTGCTGAGCTCATCATAATGTAATGCAAAGTGCACAGTGAAGCCAGACTCCTTTAACACGTCCAGTGAACATCCCTGGCTCGGCATGACTCACGACATAAAAAGGTCATAATGACTGTCAGACCTTCTGGACCGGTCCGGGCCAAATGTCCTCCTCCGACAACGGTTGCCCAGGCAGTAAAATCAGGCAACGTCAGTAAATAGGCAGAAGAATAAATCATGTTTTCATCACCATTATTATTATCATCATTAATAATAACAACACTGTCATCGTTACCATGAAAACTAAAGGTGGATTTTCATGGAAACAAAGCTGCAGCATGAACAAGCCGAAAAAAAAAAAAAAAAAAAGAAGGTTAAATTTATGGTTCCTAAAGTGAGGGAACTGTCAGCAATATATTTACTATTTTTTAAAAAATGCATTCCTTGTCACATGAAGACAGAAAAATGAACTAAAAAAGAAAATCTATAAAATAATAATAAAAAGTGAGTAACTGGGGGGACGGGGGGGGGCACTTGTTGTCAGGCCTACAGTGGTACAGTTAAGCCCCTGGTGGTTGAGTTGAAATTTGAGTCTAAAGACAAGCGTTGTTGGTGAGTCAGCTCTCCAGGGTCCAGAGTCCACAGTCCTGGACCCACACAGGTCTCTGTTCCGTCATTTATTGGTGGTTAAAAACAATCTTTTCACAGTTTCAAATGATGCTGATATAAAAACCCAGGTTTGACGTCACAGCTCTTCGACGCCCAAGAGTTGGTTGAACATCATCCACTCGGGGGAGACTCCATCAGCGAGGGTTCACGTCTGTCAGGTCGTGACAGCTGCCTTTAAAGAACACGACCCCCGCCTCCCCCCCTCCTCCTCTGTGGGCTGCCTCAGCGGGCAGTTTTCTGGGATTGCGCCCTGCGGGGGTCTACTGGAGGTCACTCTGAATCTCTCCATCTCCCTCAGGGGCGGCTGAGAAGCTGCTCTCGCCCCTGGAAGGTTTCAAGAGGCAGACCTGCAGCGAGCGCCAGCCGCTCTGTGAGCACGGACTGTTGCTGAGCAGATAAGACCATTCTGTGTGTGTAGAAGTGGGGGCGGGGTCAGAGGTGGTGGTCCTTTGATGGTAGCGGTGCAGGCCTTACCGCAGCAGCGGTGGTCTTATCTGGAGTGGCACTCTGACGCGACCCCTGGCTGACCCCCGCCCCTTCTCTTTGGTCTTTGTCTAACATCCAGACTGAGCTGGCACAGCAGTCATGGTGAGGATTCCTCCCAGTCCCCGACTGCAGAGATTTATGAGGAAAACGTGCGTCTGAACGACAGCCGGCTGCAGACTTGGCACCGAGCGACGAACTCAACGTGACAGGAAGTGGGTTTTTAATATTAAGGAATTTACCAGAAATACCGCCTTTCTATATCTGATGGTATGACATCGCATATATGGACTAAAGGGCAGAGAGAGGCCTGAGTCAAAAAGTTCTCAGACAGATGTTCTGATTTCTTACTTTTTCATTTTTCAATGATATAAAATGATTTTTTTTTTTTACAATAAACTGAATTCACGTCTCTTTTTTATTTTGGATTCATTCGTCTTCGACCTAATCCTTTTTTCATGGTCCTGTGGAGGAGTTAAATTTGGGTGAGGGTGAGGTGTCACCCTGGACAGCTATCACACGGCCACAACAACCATTCACAATCACATTCACACTAAGATTCACACCTTCTAAATCAGTCTAGAGTCAACACTTACTCCGTTACTAAATGTTTTAGACTGACACAGCCTCACACAGGCAGAAAGACATGCAGTCTCAGTGACTCTGTGGGTATCGAACCACAGCCCTTGTTGCTCTACAGTCACTGATGGGTATCGAACCACAGCCCTTGTTGCTGTTAGGCAAGAAGACTAACCACCATAGAGTACTTTTTAGTTTCCCAAATAAATCTAAAAAAAAGATTAAATCATCCCCAAAGACTTTTTACTATCCTTCCTGCTGGACCTAAATCCTCACCAACATTTTCATATTATTAGTTTCCACTGATCCTGAGAACGTTTGCCCGGCAACAGAGCCCACCACCGCAGGTCGACTAACACCTGGTGTTCATCCAAACCCTTTATAAAGAGCCACTTCTCAAAGAAATCTCCACATCTGTGTTTGGTCTTAAGGTGGCGTTGAGAGTTGCCTCACCTCCCGGCTGCAGAGCTGCACCCTCTGCTGGGACTGACGCTCCCTGCAGCAGCCTCCCGTCTCCTGTGGTCAACTGCAGCGGCAACGCGCTGAACCAGTGAGGTCACGACGGCGTGCCAGGACTTTCAGTGGTGTGTTAGCATGTTGCTCAGAGTCGGAATTGACCCGTGAGCGGATGCTGCTGAGGACGAGAGAACAGACAGGAAGTGATGGAAGGACTGATGGAGGACGGGACTAAAACGTGAAGTTAATGTTTGGTTTTGAAGACACACCATGGACAGGTTTTCCTGGGAGGAACAGCACTGCATCATCTGCAAACTGTGAGACGTGAACGTTGGACCGCAGCAGAAAACCACATTTTAATAAATGTTGTAAAAATAGATAAAAACGAGTTCACATACCTTTAGAGATAAAACAAAAAAAGTCTCGGGTGGAGACGAGTGTCAGGTGTAATTTGTGTTAGATTAGCATCAAACTTGAAAGTTAGCATCTTCACTGGGAGTGACCAGGACGGACAGTTAAGGTGGAGCAGTTTGGACATGAGATGATGGAGATGGAGGCAGGAGAAGAGGAAGACCTGAAAGAAGAAGATCTGTGGATGCAGTGATGGAGGAGACGGTTGGAGCCACAGTGTAGAGTCAGAGTGAACCAGAAATGTGGAACGTGTTTTCGCTGATTCAGCTGTATTTAAAAACGCAGATATATGAAATTCCTGGGAACAGTAGGGAGTATTGTTTTGGTACGAATGGTTCTGGTTCTCATTAGAACTTTTGTTTTGTTGTTGACATAACTGATTTGCCTCAAAGGGAGTGATGTTTCTCAATGATCTGTGCTGAGCTGTTAGAATCGTTCCGGGGGGTCGGGTTCAGAAGATTCTGGGTTCAGTAGATTCTGAGGTTGGAGGTGAGGGTTCGGTATTTTCTGGGCGTCACCGAAGCAGTGACTCAGCTGCAGTTATAAGTCATCGGAAATCGTAAGTTCTGGCCGATGATCAGTGTGGCATGTTTAGTACTGAGGAGCATAAATCCTGTTTTTGGCTGTGACCACGGTGTGCCAGGACCTAGAACATGCCCTCTGGTGGGGGAGGCAGGAGGGAGAGGGGCGGTCCAGGGGCGTAGAGCAGCATGTTCCCTCTGAGGGGTTTCTGTAAAAGGAGACCTGAAGTGAAATGGACAGCTGATCCAACATGCATGCCTGTAATATCAACTGTAAGGCCCTGGCTTCTGGAACCATCTCTAAATTTGTTTACTGCGGTTGGCCTTCACTCGCTACCTCGCTACTTTTAGTGGGTATTTCCATCCGTTGGAAATCGAACACTCACCCGCTGCTGAGGGAGTAAACAAATGAACAGCGGAAAGAAGAAGAAGAAAAAAAAAATCTCCAGGGATCAAACTTACAACACACTTGTGTGTCACATGTTTGAGATCAACAACCCGCACAACATTCAACAACAACAAAAAAAAAAACATCTGTACTTTCTTTTCTTTCTTTTTTTTCCCCAGAGCCTGTGAACTAGCCGTGAAGGATCGGATGTGAAGGAAGGACTGTGGGTTCGATTCCCGGCTCCTCCTGCAGAACTGTTGAACACATAAACCTCCCGGCAGCTTCTGTGTCACAGATGGATGAAATGCATATGACATATATGTGTATATATATATTTACACAATGACAAACACACACCGACCCGCTGGTGGAGCCCTGGATGCATCATATGGAAAAACGATCTGAGGGAAGTAGACAATAAAACCACAGGCTGAACTGCTCGTCTTTAATAAGACTGAAGATTCTCCCGCTGACCTGGGTGCAGAGGCCAAAACATATTTTTAGCATTTACGTGCACTAGCATTTCAAATTACTGACAGTTCATGAAAGCTGATCAGAGAAACTACACCTGGACAGTAAAAAAAAAATTATGCTTAAAAATGGAGCGGTCGGATTTGGCCTTGGTGCGTCTGCGTCTTCGCGGCTTTTTATTCCATTGCCAAAGTCACATGATCAGTGTTGATGTCGGCCAAAGCTAAGGTTTATATCCAAACAGGAAGTACGTCTGCACACATTAAGAAGCCTTTACACCGAACATCTCTCTTTAAACTCCACTGTAGTATTTTACAAACATGTTAGCGTTAGCTTTTTACAGACCAGGATTATTCACTGGTGTCGACTCGGGCAGAGCAGCATCAAATGTTGCTCTGCTCTCCCACTTCCTCCGTCGTCAGCCAGTCCTCAAAACATCGGTTAAATTATCAAAACACACAGGAACTAATTTGTCCAGTTGAGCGTTTTGAATCATGAATGACTCGGCCGCACGGCCAATAAAGGATGACAGCGGAGGCGCGAGAAGTCGGTGCCAAAGGAATCTTAAAATTGACAGTAAAAACACGATGAGCTCCTTCCTCCCGCCCCCTTTCACACGTCTCTGCTGCTGTGTTTCCTGCGTCGCCCTCCTCTCCCGTGGAGATCTCCAGATTGGTTGGAACGGTTGAGGTCACTCGGCCTCTTCCAGCCAACGTTGGCAGGGCTGAGAGGTCAGCGGCCGGAGGTGATGAAACATGTCACAGGACCTCTGTGACAGAGGAGAGAGCAGAGGTCAAAGGTCACGAAGAGATTTAAAAACAAGTTAGTGGAAGAGCAGTGTCCATAAACGCACTGCAGTAACGACAGCGGGCGTAAATCGTCGACCACGTGACGATAGCTGAAGTTAGAAGAGACGACGATCGTGTTGCAAGCGACGTAACCTCTTGAACTTTCAATTCGAGTAACTGTGTGAAGCTGTAAGTTTCAATGACATGCATTTGATATATTTACATATATGTATGATTATATACAGTAATATATATTTATATATTCAAAGACACAACAAAACTAAAATGTTGAAGTAAGTCGTAGTGACAGTAGACAAAGAACATTTTCCTGAGTGCTGATTTTTTTCGTCCTAACAAGTGGTCCTGATTAGGGTGGTGCAGCTGAAGGCGGTGCAGCTGAAGGTGGTGCAGCTGAAGGCGGTGCAGCTGAAGGTGGTGCTGTTGAAGGTGGTGCTGTTGAAGATGGTGCAGCTGAAGGCGGTGCAGCTGAAGGTGGTGCTGTTGAAGGTGGTGCCGTCTGCTTTTTTCAGACCATAGCAACAGATGATGGGATTAGTCGGACAGATGAGAGGACGTACACCTCGGACGTACACCTCGGACTGTGCTGTGCTCCAGTCTGTGGAACACTCAGGGGGAGAGTTGGTTGGTGGTGCACTCTCAGGGCCGGTGAGGCGTTCGTTCCTGCACCTAGCCGTCACACTTGTTAATGATGTTTAATTTTAAATAAATAGTAGTTGATGATTAGTTATATCTTTCAGACATACTGTACGTTAGGATTCTCTTCACATGATTTTACCTGCAGCCATCAGAGCAGCAGACTCTGCTCATACAAGATGTATTTGTAAAGAAAAATCACATATGGTTAACCAGGGTTTATGGATTAAAACAAAGCAATGATGTGGTTTTGTCATTTAAAAAAAAAACCAGAAACATAAACGGAACAGATTTCTAGCTGCAACTTGTAAACAATAAGACTTTATTCCCATAAAATACTGTAATTTAACTAACAGCCAATAGGCACAGGGGAAGACCTACGATCCACTGCTGGTATTGGTGTGATTGTGGAAAATGACCTTGTGTTAATTATTGACCAAAACCAAGATGGTCGTCACCTAAAGTTCAAGTATTTTTTCTCTGTAATTCCAGCAGTAACCTCCACATCCAGTCCTTCGTCCTCCGCTCATAAGAGTGTGTGTGTGTGTGTGAATCTGTATGTGGGTTTATTCGCTCTAATCTTTTAATGACATGCACTAACGATGCGATGAGGCTCAGGAACAGTTATGCCCATGAACACACACACACACACACACACACACATATCATTTTTCCCTCGTTCTTCAGAGTCCAGGATAAGGAGCAGTCCCTCTTTCTTCAGAGTCCAGGATAAGGAGCAGCTCCTGAGGTTCGTGCCAGACTTCCGAACCAAACGATATAATTATAAAGTTAACCAGAGCAGATCGTTTGAACGAGACCACCGGCTGTGAAACATCGCATTCTGGGCTGAGCTGAATGACTTCCATTTGTGGTTTGTTTGTTTGTTTTTTAATCAAATAAAAGCGTTCTGAGCGCTTGACTCACTCTGTGCGATGACATCATCACGACTCATAACATACCTGCGACATGCGGCGTCTTCAAAGAGGGCGCCTTCTTCATGAAAGGCTCCTGGCTCTCAAACGTCAGAATGGTCTCCGAGGCCGTGCCGGTGTCGGACTCGTCCCGGGCTCCATTTGTAGCGTTGCCATGGTTACTCAGGTGGATGATGTCAGCGAAGTGAGCGGCGTCTTCCTTCGCAGACAGGCCGTTTTCACGTCTAGAGGGTTGGACCCCGTTAACTTGCAGCGGCGGGCTGCTGGAGAGAGAAGAGAGTCTGGTTGTAGTTATGACGGGTCGGGAACAGTCCGGAAACATGAGTCACGCTCCTACGGCCCTCCAAGTACAGGAGTCGTTGGAGTCTAACCCAGAAAAGTGCTGAAACACGACTCGGTCTCTTCCCAGTGATGCTACAGTCGAGCATCAATCTTGTGGTTTCTCCATGTTCTCCCCTGAGGTTTGTGAAAACACAAACCTTCTACAGTCTTGATCTGCTCTCAGCTGAAGACTAGGTTTTTTGGCACACAGGTTTTATACAGTTCATGCCGGCCTGCGTTCTCCCAAACACAGCGTCAGGGTCACAGAGTTTTTTTACTGTATGATTAAACCGACGACGGCAGCCGTACCTTCCGTGGATGTTAGTCTGTCCGTTTGTTGCCTTGTTGAGTGGCAGAACGTCTTCTGGACTCGATTGGTTGTCGGCGGACGCTATGAAACACACAGATCACACCGACATTAAAACACACTCATAGTATATACCACCCTCCCCCAGCAGGGGTCAAACTACACAGAATCCCATGATGTCAATCAGCTTCAGTTCATTTTCACATTATTACTATAAAAACAAATGTTCAACATTTGGTAAAAACGGCCTTGAATTTTGTCCTGAACTCTAGTGTTTCCTCCAACCTCATGACTCAGTTCCAGTGAGGACATGACTCACTATGGATGAAAAAATAAAAAATAAATAAATAAATAAAAAACACCCCAGACTCAAAGGTTGGCAGCATCAACGGCTGAAATAAATATGTTCCTCCAGTGAGGAGCGATAAATCCCACAGAACACGGTCGACTTCCACCAAACACTGCACAAAGTGAAAGCTGCTGCTAAGACAAGGGAGAGAAACATCAAAAAAGGAAATTATATTAAACCTGACTCCATTGTTTTAAAACCTGCTGCAGAGTGAAAGGGTCCAGTCTTCCTCCCCGTGCCCCCCCCACAGACCTGGGCCTTAAACAACTGACTAACACACATGGGTCCCATTGTCCAAAGAGCTGAGGAGGCAGCTGTGCAGGATGTGAGTAAGAGAATATTGTAAAAAGCTTCGATGAAAAAACAAAAAAACAGAAGATAAGAAAAAAAGTAAAACCAATAACCTGGGTTTGTCCCAACGTGAGGAAAAGGTCAAAAAGTTGTAAAAAAAAAAAAAAAAAAAAAAAAAGGTGAAAAGGAAGAATTCAGATCTTAATCTGAAGGAAACCTAGGGACTGTGGACCCTGTCAGGTCATTAAAGTGATGTACTTTATGCTGATTTTGAATGTTTAGTAACCAAAAACACTACAACTCCCATGATGCATTTTCAATTTGTGGCCAGTGAAATAAGGTCATCCTGCCACAAGATAGCACTGTTACACACGGCTGTTTAAGACAAAGGGTATAAATGCATTAATTGTGTTAATAGGTTTATGTACTGTGCGCCCCCTGCAGGGTTGTATGCAGATGTTTGTTTTTGTAAAATATCCTGAGCAACTCATTAATATTTTGCCTCTAAAATGTGTGGAATACTGTGGAAAAAAAAAATCTTAATCTGAAGGATGTTCCTGTTGGACGTTGGTTCCGTCAGACGTTCTTACCGTTGCTACTTTCGTCCTCTTTTTCGTTATTGACGGCGCCCTCTGGTGTGGACTTTGTCTCTTTCTGCAGAGATAAAAGTTTATTAATATTTTTATTTATAAACTGCTGAGATGTAGAACTTCAGATAAAAATCCACCTTCTCCACTCCATCTGTCTTGCGTGTTCTCTTCATGATCTGTTCCAGGCGCTGAGAAAAAGAAAATTAAAAGTTTGTATGAAACATAGCACCGAGCAGTAATACTACAGTAACAAGTTGTTGTTTTTTTTTGTTTTAAATTCAAATATAATCAAATCCACAGCCTAGAGCGGGGGAACTATGTTATGTGTAAATCGACATAGAGATCGTTTATTTCTCCTCATTTTTTTTGCCCATGTTAGGAACTATGTTTTGTGTAAATCAACGAGAGATTGTTAATTTCTCCTCATTTTTTTTGCCCATGTTATCGTAGCACGACTCGTGGATAAAAACACAGTCCAACTGGGACCTTGTCTCCGTCTTCAGGTTCAGGGCCGATTCCAAACTTGTGTTTTCAGCTGCAACAACAGTGTAGGATGGACGTGAGGTGAAATGGAGGCTGAAAGTCCAGACTGCTGTAATTCAACTCTCTTTTAGGCAGGTATACACACGTGTACTGTATTCTGCAGTTTTAATATTTTGTTATTGAGTAATAAGGGCAATTGTTGAGAAACAGAAGATTATTCTTAATAGAAAACAAAATATTTCCCATTCTTCTGTGGTTGTTTTTATTCAGGAGATGATTCAAATGTTTTAATATCCTGTAAGCTTCGCCCCTAAAGGTGACCACGACCCAAGTATTTGAAGGAAGGAAACAAACACATAAAACTAGCGCAGGACTATTTTCCAGGACTTGGTCAGGTCATGGTGTTCTACCCTGACCCCTGTACAATGGGTTTTTTCTACAGTAGTACTTTGTGTTTTGTACATGTATCCAGAACGAAGTTTAAGTTTTTATCAGAGGAGAGAGGGAGAAAAGTCACTAAAAACAGTGAAAAAACGTCAAAGTGGAAACTGAAGATCGGCTCTGAGATGAAGCTGAATCTTCTTTTAAAAGTCAATGGGCAACTAGACGATGCCAAGAAAACAGGTAAAAAAAAATTTGATTTTGATCTATTTTAGTTTTGGGAACAGTTTATAGCAGTGTTGATTTTGTGTCATGAATGAAGTTATGTTTACATTAAAAACATTTCTTCTATCTCATATATCACAAAAAATAAAGTCAGGAGTCATGTGACGTGTGTGTGGTTCCTTCTTGGCTGGAAGGAAAAAGAAACAATGACAGGAGGACAAACGGCGCCCTACCCTTTTCCTCTCCAGCCTCTCCTGCTCCTCCTTCTGGAAGTGTTTCTCCCTCTCCAGACGCTGCTTCTCCGCCTCCTCCCTGGCTTTAGCCTCAGCTTCTTCTTTCTGAAATAGACACAGGCAGAAATCCAACCACAAGTTTAATGTTGGCAGAAGGAGGAAGAAAAACCCTCTGCCAAAACAGCGTGCCTCTCCTGTAACAAGGGTGTGGTCTCTCCCTGCAATTGTTGTTTACGACCACAAAAGGAATATCTTCTGGTTCACCACAGGTAAAAATATCTCCTCTCAACACTGGAGGAGCAGCAGGAACCATGTCGAGTGAAGTACAACTCTGACGCCTCGGCACAGCACGCGGACTCATGTTCGACCACAGCTGCCACTCACAAAAGGCCACAAGGGGGGGACAAAAGCCCAGGCACTGAACACAGAGATGCACTGATGCTAATGCTAACAGATGAAGACATCAGGCTCAAATACACAAGCAGAGATGCAGAAAGATACATTTTCTTTTTCTCTAGCTTCATTATCGCCACCTACTGGGCTGGACTTGGACTGTACTGTTTTCATGTGACAGTTTTCACATTGGTTTTATCCATTGGTCTACGTTAGTTGTTAACAGTTAGCAAAGCTAGTTAAGCACAACAATACGTAGGTTGATAGGAACAGACCTATACCAGAATCAGGTATAAACTGGTTACCAACCTGACTGGTAGGCACAGTCACCCCATGATTTGTCCTGATCAGAATATCCACTCTTAGCTAGTGTGGACTGAGAAAAAAATGTGACTGTGACAGTTGTGGAGCGTGTCCCCAGATAAAGACATAAACCTGTCATCACAGGAGTTCACAGTGAGGTGAGCCAAACCAGTCAACAATAAACCTAACAAACACCACAATTACTTTAGATTTGATGCAGTTCTGGGGGAGCGGGAAAGTGGAAGGACAAAGGAGGGAGGAACGGAGGTGGTGTGTTTACTGTACGTCCTCACTGATTCCCACCTGTTTCTGCAGGAGTAGGTTCTCCTCCTCCTCAGCCTTGGCTCTCTCCTCAGCCTCCTTCTCCTCCTGGAGGCGTCGGGCTTCATCTCTTCTTCTCTGCTCCTCGGCCATGGCGCAGGCCTCCAGTTCTCTGAGGTGCCTCTCCTCGGCCTCCCTCGCTATTCGCTCCTCTCTCAGGATTCTAACGATCAGAGATAAGAGTGAGGATGCGCAACACTGAAGTTCATTCATACATTAAGATTTTCTAATTATTATTTCAAGGTGAGCAGGAACCTTGACATGAACAGAACCGAAATACTAGGAAGTGCCGTTCATTTACACATTAAGATTTTCTAATTTTATTTCATCGTTCACATCATTATTTATATTAATATTCTATGATAAAGTCTTCTGAGGTCCTTTAAGAACTCTGAAGTCAGAGAGCGCCTCCTAGGGTTTTTTTCAGGTTATTATTAGTTCACGTGACCCCCCTGACCTCTCCTTCTCCTCCTGCTCACGCCGCTCTTGCTCCTCCCTCTCCCTCTGCTCTCGTGCCTGTCGGCGTTTCTCTGCCAGGATGCGAGCGGCCTCCTCCGGGTCGTTGGTACCTGCCATGGGCTTGGCAGTAGGAGAGGGGGCCGGTGACGCTGTGGGAACAGAAGGCGTGGAGTGGGGGGGCTCAGGTGACGGGGAAGCGCCTGCGGTCCGGACCGATGGGCTGGATGTAGGGCACGAGGCAGCAGCTGTGGACGCAGTAATGACAGGAAAAACTGAAACACGGAGGACGAGAGAAAAGAAGAGGAAAATATACAAAGGTCCAGATCGGACTGGGCTGCAGTGGAGATGAACAAAAAAAATATTTTAAGCTTGTTATGAATGAGGTGTAGTTTCCCTCACTGGCCTGTAGGTGGTAGATGTGACAGTGTTCCTTGATTCGCGTATATTTGTGCTTTATTATATATTAAGATAAGAATTAACCTCAACAAAAACCAAACCAAAAACCTACGTCCTGTCACTAACGGGTTTATTTTGAACGATTCATTTGTAGGAATATTCTGTTTCTACAGCTGGATGTTGGGAGTCTATGAGTCATTCTTCTGACCTGAATATGAAATGTGTAGTTATAAATAGACCGAGACAGGAAAAGCTATGAGAACTCTTGAGAAATGACCTGGAAAAAAAAAACTCTCCAAGTCTTAGATGTGTCTGATATTTGAACTTTTTTTTTTTTTTACTCACTCCTTCTCTCTGGTGTAGAGGGGCGACGAGGCTGCATGATCCTGTCGATGGGAGCTGGGGAGGAGGTGCGATGGTCTATCCTGGCGGGAGTTCTGGGTCTTTTGGGCCTAGCTTTAGGAGTTGATGGACTCCCACGTGTCGATGGAGGTCTGGGGGAACCTGCTGGACTTGGGGAGGCAGTTCTGCTCTTCTGTAGAGCTGGGGAGGACGTCCGCTGTCTCGATAAAGGACTGGGACTACAAGAGTTATAAAAAATTAGTAATTCATTTTTTTAAATTAATTAAACCTATACAGGGGCAACAATACAATACATTGCAATATACTGCTATACTACAGGCATAAATATATAGAAAGAAAAAAAGAAAATGAACCAACACCAGGAATATTGGACTGGGAATTGGTGAGAAAAAAATCAATAACTGAAAAAGGAGGAGATTGATACAGTATTGTAAAAGGAAATATCACAATATATCACAGTATCAATATTTCTTCACACCTTTTATTAAACAGAAACATAAAAACTAGAGGTTGTACCTGGGCTCAGTTCTGTGCCTCATGTTGGGCATCGACTGTCGTTTCTTCATCACGCTCTCTTTCGTGAGGGCATTTTTCTCCTTCTCGTTCTCCCGTTCTTTGTCTCGTTTTTCTTTCTTGTTTTTTTCCATCTGTGGGACAGTACATCAGCAAAATTAAATATTTCTCAGAACACCACAGTAAGAGAGTCCTCAATGTTTGGCAAGAAATTATCAATAAACTAATTTTAAATTTTATATTTGTTTCAGCTAATCCTCAATGTTTGGCAGGTTATTATCAATAAACTGTTTTAAATTTTATATTTGTTTCAGCTAAGGCATATACATAAATACATCAATATCTATGTATACACATACAGTACATCATACATGAATGTATATACATTTATATGTATACATATAAATATATATGTTTAAATTCACATACACATACTGTATACATACATATATACACATATATACATACATAGATACATATACACACGAATATATAGTAAGAGATTATTATACACACAAAAATATAGTAAGAGATTATAACAATATATTTTACATAAAGCTGATCAGTAAAATTCCTATATCATGATGTAAATAAATACTGTAATTATATTATGATTTATAAAGTACTGCTACTATATTACTTTTTTCAAAAGTATGTATCAGTACAGTGATGGGGTTAAACCTACTGGTGTGGAGCTCCGTCTGTGCTGCCGCTGGGTTATATCTGGTGTACTGGAAGTTACCCTCCAGCGGTCGGAGCAGCGGTGGTGGGGCTGGTGGGAGCAGAGGGTGAGGGGACTGGCCGAGGCCGAACGAGGGCAGACGGGAGAATCTACGACCAGAGATGGAGTGAATTAAAGGGTTAACTGGTGGATCAAAGGTTAGCCTGCGGTGATCGTTTCTTTCTTTTTTTTTTCCTCTAACTCACGTCCGTCTTTGCCGTTGCTGAGGACACTGGCTGCACTGCGGCTTCTGGCCAGAAAGGACAGCGTTGGCGTCATCAACCGGTCCACTATACTGCTCTCCCATGGCCTCAGGGCACTGCTGCGGGCTGCAAAGGTGAACAATTAAAAAAAAAATTTAAATAAAATAACGTGGGCGGGGCCGGTTGATCCAGATCTTTAACAAACAGAATGTTAACCAGCGACACATTCTTTGTCTGGAACCATGTGACCACATTAATACCATCGCAACATATTTTACCTGAGATGAATTACAGAGTCAGTGAAGTTTAATTTTGAGTTGTTGCCTAAACTAGAGTTTATAGTTCTATATATTTTTCATCAAAATGTTCAAAAGTGCAATAAGTGAAAATGGCTCCTACAGAGAGGAGGGGTGAGGAGGGGTTACTGTAGTGATCTTACATTAACCTTGGGATGCACAGGTGCCACCCAGTGGGGAGTCATTAGAAATGCTAGTTTCTAAAAAATAAAAATGCTGGAAAAGTGCCGAGTCACGTTCTCCCTTGTGCTGAAGTCGTGCACACGGTGACCTGGTTCAACAGAACTGCCTAAATCTGCAGCGTGAAGAAGAGGAAGATTGAAAAGACATTTCTGTAAATACCTGCTCACAACAAAAATAAAAAAAAATAAAAACCATAGAGAACAGAACACAGTAAAGACATCCCACGTCCCAAACACTGCAAGGTCAATGAGCCAGAAAAGAAAACTTGGAATGAAATGTTTTCAAAATAAAACAACCAAAACAGGAAGGACAGAAAATCAAAACCCAAATTAAACAATGTAAAAAAAAAAAAATCCAGTTCAGAGCAAGAAAAAACATTTTATCCACACTCTGACCTGAAACTCTAGATCAGTGGTTTTCAAACTCTGGTACGTGTACCTTTGGTGGTACTTGGGCTCCCTCTAGTGTACGCAGGGGGAACTGCTTTCACAAGGCTTAGTGCCAGTTATTGTGCAGTGTGTTTTGAGAAATATTCTGGGATGTAGTTGGTAAAAAATAATAAATTGGACAACCACTGCTCTAGACGTTCAAATCAAATTAAAAGAACAGAAATTGGAGAAAAATGAAAATGGATCAGCTGTTGATCATCGAGCACAAGAGAAATCAGAAATTAAAAATAAAAAAATAAAAAACACACAGTGGGAGGAGTCGGCACAGTGATGGAGAACGTGTTCCTGATGGGTTCTTACTTCTGCTGGGGGAGTTCCAGAGCGTGGCAGAGGACTTGGAGAGTCGCTTGTCCATGGGGGAGTCCAAGTGTTTGGGTAGGTTGACCGTTGATAAGGAGCATCTGCCTGAGGAGCCAAGAGAGCGCCACACAGTGGTTCAGACGGTCACATGGTTGAGTGAAGAAACGGGAAACCCTTTGTCAGGTCTACGGACTGAAACCCTGTTCTTTTAAAAGTTCTTTCACGTTTTGTTTTATTTTTTTCAGAAAAATCGGAAACATCAGATGGTTCTAGATCAGAGCCCGAACCTGAATGACAGAAAAACACCTTTGATTCTTCAGTAAAAATAATAATAAAAAAAAGGTTGTAATTCAAACGTTCAAAAAACAAGACAAAACAAGAACCGAGGACTGAAAAACAACAAAAAAAGATTTAAAGAAACAAAACAAAACAAGAACCGAGGAGTGAAAAACAACAAAAAAAGATTTAAAGAAGTTTGTGATGTAAGATGACCTGCGACCTTTCAGACGGAGCTCTCAGCCAACCCGATCGGCTAAAGCTGTGTGGTTCAAACAAAGAGGTGTGTAACCACATGTGTACTCATTATAGATCATAACCCGCAAAACATAACTTCAGGTCAGCATCCAGACACACACACACACACAAACACACACAGAAAGTCCGAAAATATCCATCAAACAATTCAGAAATCAACCTTTTGTTGACAGAACGTTTCTGTCCATCAGAGTCAAATCACTCAGTTCAGTTCACATCAGTCTTAGTGGTCAGGGTCAGGGTGAGGATCAGGGTCAGGGTCAGCACCAGCGTGTCTGTTATGGGATGTGTTTCCAGGTCAGACTCACCTTCTTTCTGGCTGGAGTTCTGGCTCAGCGCTCCGGCCCACGACCATCTCTGTTGGCGGATCTCAGCCCAGGTCTTTTTGGTCGACCTGTGGATCACCGCCTCGTAGCGTTCCTGGAAGGAACACAGAAATTTACTGAATGTAAAAATGTAGATCATTGTTACCAAAACAAATCAATGTTGTCTAGACATCCTGGGGAAATTTAATTCATGCATTTACAATGTGCTTTTTAGCACCTTCCCTGGCAGACGTCAGAGGGTCGGGCTGTCTCAGAAAACAAACCTCTGTCCTGAATCTACAGAGCTGCAGCCCTACCTGAGGTCCGTGAGCCAGATGTTTAAAAATAGAAAAAACATTTAAAAATCCTCCTGTAACTAATTATGTTGTGAATGACCTTCTGTTCTTTTTACATTTGCTTTAAATATTTAATGTTTACACATACATGTTTATGTCAGTGTATTAGATCAGATCAGAGCAGATTAATCTTTATTGATCCCACGTTCGCTCTAAACCACACAGGCGCCAATCATAATAAATTTATCAGTCAGATTTACTTTGTTCTTCTCCAGTTTCTGCTTCTGTCTCTCCTCCAGGGCGGATCGACGTTTCTCTGCTTTGATCCTCTGCTCCTCCAGCTTCCTGCGACGCTCCTCCAGCCGCTGCTC